TGACCTGAGTTAGGACTCTTGTTCAGGCAGGCCGGATGCAAAGATTTTCCTGAGACACAGCCGGCGCTTGGGCATGGCCTGTGACAATTGAGTCTATCAAACACTGGTATCTGCTAAGAATAACCAGCCCAGGTATCTGTCAATTTCATAAAACTACCACAAATGCCACTATCTTGTCCCACTGTCCACTACCTTCAACTTATCTTAATTAACCCTAACCCTGCCACATGCAGCACAGTGCATCAGGTGGAAAAGTCTGGTGCACTTTGCTGCATTTCAGCTATCAACACCAGTGCATCAACAGCCAGTTCTGAAACAATGAAAGCTAATCCCATTGAACAATGCCTCAGTTGTATCCTGCTGCGTTCGAGGACCACAGACTCCGAGGCAATTTGGCTTTGAGACTTTTAACCTGATGGATCTTACTGCACTGGGCAGGCTTGTCACTTAGACAAGTGTTGCATGTTGCTGCCTTTGGCAGGGTTTCTAGCCAAAATAACATGGAGGGTTAATTAATTCAACTCACAAATCTTTTCAAAAACATGGACCATAAAAGTCATCTTGTAGCATGACCTGTGAAGAGAAAGTAAAACAGTGGCTACACTCCCTGTCTGTGCACTGTATGGGCGTCCAGTCTGCCTCAGCGCCTTTCATCTGATGGATGGGCCTACAGTTGCAAAAAAAAACAATTGAGAAAAAATGTCAACAATCAAATTTATATGTATGATGTAAAAAAAAAAATATGTAAATGTATTAAACGGCAATGCCAATAAAATCAGTAAAAAAACCCTCATTTTCTACTCAATCAAAACCTTCACAAAAATTTTCAAAGTGGAGGGGGGGGGGAACAAATTAGGCCAAATAAAAAAACAAAAACATGTTAAGCGTCCCTGCCTGCTTCCTTTTTGGAGGCTGGCTCCTTACGCTCCTTTTATTTTTAATTTTTTTTAACCAATTTTATTTTTAAATTTTGGCCTCATACATTGTATCTGTTGCATCATGGAGCTATAAACACATTTCGATATAAAGCTGGTATTTAATTTTCTGAGTTTAATGGCAGCCATTTAAAAAAAACCCCAAATGGCAGCCATCTTGAACAATAGCCCTGTCGGGCGACCATTTTGGAGGACAGAAAAACAAGGGCCTCTCGCTTCCTTTTTTTTCAAAAAGCAGGACCCTAACTCCCCCTAAGCATGTTCTTTTTGGAAAGATTCTCGTATCCGGCCATCACTTGTCAATGTCATCCCATGGAGGAAGGAATGGTCATCCTGTGCAGAATGAGACTGGTCTGAAAATGTGTGTTTTCTCAGTAAATACCCCAATAAATTCCCTGCTAAATTTGACTTTTGAAGGGCGATCGTGAAGTGAAGGGCCCTTGTTTTCTTTTGATCGAATTAGAGTCAAAAATATGTTTTTTTTGCTCAAAAATCACATTTACAATCAACACAGACTTTTCTCAATTCATTCTAGTGAGACCCGTTTTGCAATTGTGAACAGATTCTAGGGGTAGAAAACATGATTTTCCTGCGCAGTTTGTGCCTTGCGATTCGGCACACCGTGCGTGCTCACGGTACATCGCATGGTGATCGCCATCTTGATTTTCAGGTCGTGTGTTTTTCCCTAAAAAAAAAAAAAACCCTGCCCTCTATCTATGACATACCTGTTGATTGAGAATGTCGCCAACTAGTTTGGTAGGTCTAATAATTTTTAAAGTGGAATGTTCCCTTATATAGGAACCGGACCCTTCAATTCACGATCGCCCTTTATAGGACATATTATTATTATCACTTTCTGATGGCTGATAGGTCGCTGAAGGAAAACATTAGTGATGGCCAAATATGGGAATCTTTCCGAAAAAGCCTCCTAATCCTAGCACTAGCCATAGCGAGCTGCAGCCATTCAAACTGGGCGATTTAACATTTTGCTTTTTTTTTTTTTAATTATTTTTACGACGAGGTGTCCTAGTCCTACTACAAAATATAAATAATTTTTCAGAATCTCTTGGGTACCTACCAATGTCAATGAATAGCCATGTTCAATAACTCCTTTGCCTTGAATAATCACATAAATAAATTCTGGGGGAAAATATTAAAGGGAAGGTACATCATTGGCTTTTGCTGTAATTTTCAGAATTGAACTATTTGAGGGGTTAGTATAATAGATCAAATATTGTTACACTGACATGTTTGAAGTTTTGTGTTCGAAAATGCTGGAAAAACCAAGAAAAACAAAAATGTTCAAGTAGTCTGGTTCCTTGACTCCACTAAAGATAAAATGGATCAATTTACAGATGCCGGAAAATTGTAAGGTAAGGGAACCAGTCTAGCTGGCCTGCACCCGTTCATGAACATGTAACCAATAGCAAACAAAATTTGGACTGAAAAAAGTGTAAAGTTGGAGCAGTAGTTGAAAAATAGTTAGGTTTTTCCAATGGTGGTCGGCCGACCACCGTTGGAAATGTATACAAAAATACCATTTTCTTGAAAATGACTTCACACCAGGTGCCATGATTTTACAGGATGCTATAGACTGTCATTTACCAACATCCTAGTAAGGTATTTCGTAAAAACTTGGTAGTTTTATTTTTCGATGTTTGCAAATGGTGTATATTCCCTTTAAGTTGAAAAACTATAACTAGTGTTCAGCGTAAAGTTAAACAGCGCCCTCCAGGCAAAAAGTGGTTTAAAGGGTTTTTCCAAAATTCGAAGCCAGCTACGGCTTCGTCTGTTATAATAATTTGAAGATTATGAAATTTCCACACAGCTACTCAGAAAGCGTGAGTTGTCTAATAAGAAGAGACAAATAGGTGTTATTAGGCTTCCGTTACGGGAGACGTATGCGTCTCGTAAAAAAAAAGACGGATGCCAGTTCAATGATGAAGCTGCGAGTCTGCGATGAAGACCGAGGTTTCGAAACAGCTTGCATGCTGCCAATCGAGCGACACATGAGGGCAGCATTCAACAACATAAACACGCGACTGACTCTGGTCTGAGTGGCTGAAAACTTTCTTATTTATTAGTACTATTACGTCAGTATCAGTACTACAAGTTTGTTTTCATTAAAGGTAACATTAATTTGGTTGAATTTAATAGCTATTTGTGAAATCTGCATTATTTTATTTAGTGAAATGTACTGCAGAAGTAGCCGTAGACGCACTGCGTTTATAGCGTAACTTGTTATGATGTTTCGTCGTGTGTTATTACTAGCCCCACTAGTGTGGCCGTCGGTATGCTGCGCTGAACCTAAGGCCACACACCGTGGTCCGCGCACTACTGAGGACGTTTTCATAAAATTTGCAGGGAATTTCTTACATATGGTTGTATTCTACGATGTCGCATCTATCACTTCTGGGATGCTTAGGTGTAATGATGTTCAATTTTCCGAGATATTCTTGAATCTTTCTGGAGCCCATATGCACTCGTGAAACGTCCGGTGATGGCAGCCATTTTGAATGTGACAAGAGATGACCTCAAGCTGTGACGTCGCGTTTATGCAAATTGCTTGTGGAGCGCGCGAGGGCGCGAGTTGCAAATACGACGGCTGTTTCCTGTACCATGCATTTATCGTCTGGGGGCCACGTGCACTGATCTCAATTTAGGATCTACGGCACAGGAAACAGCCGTCGCATTTGCAACTCGTGCCCTCGCGCGCTCCACAAGCAATTTGCATAAACGCGACGTCACAGCTTGAGGTCATCTCTTGTCACATTCAAAATGGCTGTCATCACCGGACGTTTCACGAGTGCATGGGCTCCAGAAAGATTCAAGAATATCTCGGAAAATTGAACATCATTACACCTAAGCATCCCAGAAGTGATAGATGGGACATCGTAGAATACAACCATATGTAAGAAATTCCCTGCAAATTTTATGAAAATGTCCTCAGTAGTGCGCGGACCACGGTGTGTGGCCTTAGGTTCAGCGCAGCATACCGACGGCCACACTAGTGGGGCTAGTCGTGTGTGTTCGTGAAAAGTTTGAGATGCTTAGTTAAAAAAGGAAAAATGTCCATACTGGGCCACTATGCACTAATATGACCTGAAAAGAACCAAAAGTTGTAAATCTGATGGAAAAACACTATTAAGGAGTGCAAAAAATCTGGATTTTTCCTACAGTAGTTCCAGATAGCTTCAAATAAAAAAACATACCTTTTTTTGGATTAGTCTCCAAATTGGAGTCCAATATTTTTTTCTGACGAAGTGCATTTTAATAAGGAAAATGTAAGCTTCTTGATACACGAAGATCTTTTTGATAAAATCTTAAAAGAGGAATTTCTGCCAAATTTTCGACTCGCACTTTGACTTGTTTGGATGGTTTGTAGAAACTCGTGGGAGCTGCTGCAGGGAACCGAAGAAAACTTTTCTCCTCGGTACATCACTCGAACAGTGTGATTTTGAATATTTTGTTGAACTGTCAAACTGGTCAGTTTCTGATGAATGAATCCAAGTTTACAAAGCCATTCATATCTTAAAACATTCATTCTTTGATTGATTAATACAAAGCCCATTAAAAAAAGGGAAATAAAAATATCAAAATATTATGAGGCATCAACAAAGTATCAAGTATCAGAGAACCATACCCCGAGCTCAAATACCAGACTGGTGATTGAACAAAGCATTACTTGTACATATATATGTAGTTTTTAATTACGCACACAAAAAATACCAGCTTACATGAACTGTAGATATTGGTCATTTTGGGGAACCAACCAAATTTACATTTGTACAGGTTTATCTCTAACTTTACAAATACATTCATATTTTGTAGCATTGATTTTTCAATTAAAATTTACAGTGTTGAGACTATTATTAAGACAACTTTGGAATGCTCCTTATTCAAAATTTGAAATTTATTGATCAATCTGGTTGTTATTGTGAACTGTTTTTGTTGTGCAGTATCTCACTTGGAAACTCATAATTAAACTTACAAATATCTCATGCTTAAAAAAATCAAAGTAAAGTTATTTTCTCCGGTAGGAGTTGGTCTTTTAATTTGTTCGTTTTTGTCTATCAGGTCTTGACCCACAAGATAACCATTCCACCAGCACCTCTGACGTACCAGTGACTGGCGCTGCCAAAACAGATCCTTATCACTATCTGACGCAACAGCATTTCACCTCGGAGATCTTCAAGATTGAGATCCAAAACCTCCCAAGATATTTTGGATTTGCGGTGAGTTTGCTCTCTAAGCACTAAACCCTCGATAACGATAATCATACAGTTTGTGCTCTTTGAGAGTTCATATTGTGCTCCATGGTTAGGATTTCATAATTATTTGCATAATTAAAAGGCCATTGGATGAATTTTACAAAAAAACATGCAAATATCCTAGCCTCGTGTCGATATTAAAGTAATGGTAGACAACTAGATACTTGTAATCTTTTTTTCTTCCAGTGCACTTGTTCCATGTACACTTGAATCATTATTTCTAATATTGCTGTGATATCGTTTTAGGATGTAACATTTACAGCTTTGGGATTTTCTAAATAATTTATGAACTTTAGCTTCTTTGCATTAAGTACACATAGCAGTTTGTGCATTAAAGGGAATGTACATCATTGGCTTTTGCTGTAATTTTTAGAAATGGAGTATTTGAGGGGTTAGTATAATATATCAAATATTGTTACACTGACATGTTTGAAGTTTTATGTTCGAAAATGCTGGAAAAACCAAGAAAAACAAAATTCTTCAAGTAGTCTGGTTCCCTGACTCCACTAAAGATGAAATGGATCAATTTATAGTTGCCAGAAAATTGTAAGGTAAGGGAACCATGACAGTCTAGCTGGCCTGCACCCGTTCATGAACATGTAACCAATACCAAACAAAATTTGGACTGAAAAAAGGTAAATTTGGAGAAGTAGTTGAAATATAGTTAGGTTTTTCCAACGGTGGTCGGCCGACCACCGTTGGAAATGTATACAAAAATACCATTTTCTTGAAAATGACTTCACACCAGGTGCCATAATTTTACAGGATGTTTTAGACTCTCATTTACCAACATCCTAATAAGGTATTTCTTAAAAACTTGGTAGTTTTATTTTTCGATGTTTGCAAATGTTGTATATTCCCTTTAAAGTATCGCACTGACTCTGTGCCTCATGCTAAATGAACAAAATAGTCACATCAACCTCGAACAAACCTTTTCGTAACTTTTTGTTTTTAATCAGCAGTGACACTGAAGATCCAGCTCATGACATCACTGTATTGCTCATGACTTGGCACTTTCACAGAAATGTTTAAAAACGTGAAGCGTCGTACGCCTTCATCAAATAAAAACCTCAAAATCTGTTTCAAAGGCACTTTTTTGAAAAAGTTTTGCAGTGGAACAAGCTTGAACGGATCTCAGAAGCTTCAGGCCAACACATTTGTGTTTGCCTGATTTTAATCTTTGGCCCCATAGCTTTAGGTCCGATGTCGAAGTCATTTTTAATGTTTGACCAAGGCCAACATGTTGATGACTACTTTTGCCATTTGAGCTCCTTTGAAATTTGACCAATTTTGACCTGGACCCCAGGATAACCTTTGACCCCAGTTGGTCATGTGACATGTTGCTGGGGCTAGGCTCCTGATACTTTTGACTTTAAAGGTTTGGTTGAAATCGGTCAAAATATGTTGGACCAATAGACAATGTCAGTGTTTGTTACTAACTAACACTTAACAGACTAACGGACTAACAGAGAGACATGATGATTTGTTGAGCTGCTACCCTCAGCTAAAACTGCAGCTGCCGATTTCACAAAAAAGTGAATCCAATCCATCTCCAATCCCTCGCCAATCTATCTCCAATAGATCTCCAATCCCTCTCCAATCCATCTCCAATCCTTCTTCAATGCATCTCCAATCCATCTCCAATCCATCTCCAATTTATCCCCAATCCATCTGCAATCCATCTCCAATTTATCCCCACTCCATCTCCAATCCATCTCCAATCCATCTCCAATCCATCTCCAATCTCTATCCAATCCATCTCCAATCCCTCGCTAATCTATCTCCAATAGATCTCCAATCCCTCTCCAATCCCTCTCCGATCCCTCTCCAATCCATCTCCAATCTCTATCCAATCCATCTCCAATCCCTCTCCAATCCCGCTCCAATCCATCTCCAATCCATATCCAATCCCTCTCAAATCCCTCTCCAATCCCTCTCCAATCCATCTCCAATCCCGCTCCAATCCCGCTCCAATCCCTCTCCAATCCATCTCCAATCCATATCCAATCCCTCTCCAATCCCTCTCCAATCCCTCTCCAATCCCTCTCCAATCCACCTCCAATCCTTCTTCAATCCCTCTCCAATCCATCTCCAATCCATATCCAATCCCTCTCAAATCCCTCTCCAACCCCTTTCCAATCCCTCTCCAATCCATCTCCAATCCTTCTTCAATGCATCTCCAATCCATCTCCAATCCATCTCCAATTTATCCCCAATCCATCTGCAATCCATCTCCAATTTATCCCCACTCCATCTCCAATCCATCTCCAATCCATCTCCAATCTCTCTCCAATCCCTCTCCAATCCCTCTCCAATTCATCTCCAATCCATCTCCAATCCCTCTCCAATCCCTTTCAAATCCCTCTCCAATCCCTCCTTAACGCTCTCTAATCCCTCTCCGATCCTGCTCCAATCCATCTCCACTCCATCTCCAATCCATCTCCAATTTATCCCCAATCCATCTGCAATCCATCTCCAATCCATCTCCAATGCATCTCCAATGCATCTCTTGACAATTAACTTTCCAATGATTGACTCCCTTCTGGTTCTGGATGTGCATACTGCTGCCCTTGTGCTGATGGCTTGGTGCCAGTCAGCCCAGGACAGGCCCGTAGGAAGCTAACAAATATTGGTCAGGCTCATCTCAGGGCAGAGAGCTCAGTTGATGCGAGCGCGCAGCGCGAAGCCCTAACGGCGTGGGGTACGGGGCCCGCTTAAGGGCCCCGAAAATTTTTGGATTCTAGACGCTCTGTGGTGCGATCTGAGGCAATTTCTGACCACTTTAACCTTTTTTGAGCTACATGTATCATCATTTAAACATCATTTTCAAGTTTTGAGTCAATTATCTTTTTAATTTTTTAGCGTGAGAAACTCCATGTCGGCGTTAAAGCATGAGAATAACCTGAAATATGTGTGTCTTACGCTCAGTGCGTGAGAGTTGGCAGGCCTGCAGAGGCGGATCCAGGATTTGACCCAATCCCTCCCAAATTAAATGTAACCAAAAGCCACTCCCCATCCCAACACTATCAATATTTGTACAGAAATACATGTGCATGAATATAGGAATTTTATTCTTCGTAATTTCACTAATTTGTACAAGACACATTTTGGAGCATTGCACAACTGCAAGTTTAACCAGTAAATGTCACTTTATGAACTTTACATAAATCGTCAAAATTAAATCGTCAAAATTTGGCCTATCGTAGTGAAAAGTTTTGGACATTTGCTCCTCGCAAAACTTTTTTGGATCTAAATGCTCTGTAGTGCATCTGAGGCATTTCCTGGCCACTTTCCCCTGACTTTTTGAATGAAATGTATTCGTGTTTTAGTGGGTGGGTCATCAAATTTGATAAATTACATCACAAGCATCATATCAAAACTGTAGCTTGACTCTCTTTCTAGATGTCGCCATGCACTAAAGTGGAATTTAACCATGACTTTTAGTTTTCCTCAGACTTGTACTTGTGTTTTCTTAAAAAGAAGGTTTTTTTTCTATAGTTGATAAAATAGCAAGAAAGAACCGGTTTTGTGCAAGCAAAATTCAGGGAATAATCCGTTGATATTAAATATCTTGTTGGAAAATTCCAAAATCATTTCAAGAAAGTTGCCGCCGATATCAGAGTTAATGAAGGGGAAGGAAGGTGGGATTTGCTATCAGCAACAACAAAGCCGTTCCTCATTCTTTACCTTTTATGGGATGTGAATCAATTGGAGGACGAGAGGCTCTGCGGGCTGATGTATTTTTTAGATTTTTTTTTTTTTGCAACCAGCTTGTAGGGAAGATTTCCGTTTATTTAAGACTTAATTCACCGGTATGGATACCAGTGTATGTACAATGATTGAGCTTCCGAGCGTATTTGTTAAGTTTTTTTTCTCTTTCTAAGAAAAATACATCAGCTCCCAGAGTCTCTCGTTCTCCAATTGATTCACATCCCATAAGGTAAAGAATGACAAACGGCCTTGTTGATAGCAAATCCCACTTTCCGTCCCTTCATAAACTCTGATTCACAGCGGTAATTACTTTCTTTGAATGATTTTGGAATTTTCCAACAAGATATTAACTTCAACGGATTATTCCCTGAATTTTGCTTGCACAAAACCGGTTCTTCCTTGCTATTTTCTCATTTAAAAAACCACTTCTTTTTAAGAAAACACAAGTACAAATCTGAGGAAAACTAAAATTCACGGTGGCGGCCAAACGCCATTCTGTTTAACTTAACATGTAGGCCTAGTGGCAACATGTATGATTACGCTTTCCCTTTAAACACAAACACAAAACAAAACACAAAAAGAAAACAAGAAAAATGTGGGGGAGGGTAACGGGGCCCATGCCCCCCCCCCCCTAAAAAAATGAATCCTTTTTTTTTTAGTGGCGTCGCAATAAAGGCAGACACTGCGTACACCACCATCTTTACCTTTAAAAAAAAAGGTTCAAATGGTCAGAAATTGCCTCAGATCGCACCGCAGAGCATCTAGAAACGAAAAACAAATTAAAAAAAATTGGGGGCCCTTTTTAGGACCCACTTTTTGGGGAACCAAATCCCCCCCCCCCCCAAACAAAATGTGATCTGGATCTGCCCTTGGGGCCGGCCATGCAAGGCCTTGTATACATTTTAAAAAAATAGGCCTGTTATTATTGGTACGGCTATAGCCGTACCTGCCGTACCGCTTCCTACGGCCTTGGCCCAGGACATTGTTCCTGGGTACTTGCAAGTGACTGCTGGCTCTCTGCTGGTTCTGAATGTACACACTGTTCCCCTTGCATGGATGGCTTGCAGTCAGTCAGACTAGAGCATTGTTCCTGATGAGAACTTGCAAGGGCTCTGGGGTCCCTGCTGGTTCTGCATGTACCTCAACATGCACTTGAACATGCTGCGGACTGTGCATGGATGCCTTGCTGCTGCTTGGCATGGAACATTGTTCTTGACAGCTGTCCAGTGGCTGCTTTCTCGCTGTGTGTTGTGCATGCCCTTGGCTTGGTGGCTTGCTGCTGCTTGGCCTTGCAGCATTGTGCTCTTGGTCATCTGCTTCGCTGGGTTTAATGGCGGCTGAGATTCCGTTTTGGGCAGCAATGACAGCACAGTTTGAGGAATGAGAAACCCATGACTACAGCTGCACGATAGTCAGTGTTTGTGACATTGTAGACAAGAGAATTGATTGAGCTGTTGATAAGTTGCAGAATGTTTAAACAAATAGTCACAGCATATAGTTTTTCTGCAAGTTTTAGGTATTCAGCCTCTTGAGCCGGCCTGGTATAACTGTTACGTATGATTCTAATAGTTGCAGCTGCAATGTCTAGTGAGTTCCAAACGAAGAAAACAGCGGTATTTATGATTATCAAACGGAGGACCTTGCCTGCTTGCTTTGGACGGTTTGGCAACAGGGCTGATTGATTACGCACTTTCACTACTACATAGATGTACAAAGGAAGAGTTGCTTTTAAACAGACAACATTGATAATGTGAGAAATCCAAAAAAGTATTTCAACGAAGACCGTGTCTGTTATTGGTAAGAATATGAGAATCACAGCAGCAATAATTGTTGGCACCCAGAGTCCTGCTGATATCTTCGCTGCTCGAGATTTAGAGGCTTTTTCTTTGTGTGTCAGAGGATTGCGCACTGCAGAGAATGTCTCAGCTGCTATGGTAACCACAAATAAATTACAAACCGTGAGAAACATATAATGAACGCCCCGGGCTGCAACTTGCAAGGAGTGTATTGGTTGAATAAACAGTACATATAGAAGGTTATATGTAAGGAAGAGCAAGTCAGCCACGGCCAGATTGGACAAGTAGATGTTGATGTTGATGTTTGTACGCATGGACTTCACTCGAATGACTGTGAAGAGAAAGACCATGTTGAGTAGGATGCCGATTGGTGCAATGATTTCAATACTTAACCATTTTATTTGAAGAAGTCCGTGTACACTCTCATCAAAGTTGTCACGAAGCTTGTCAATGTCACTTTCCCTCCCAGTTGATGGAGTGGAGCTGTTTTGGTAGTCATCACCCATAGTTCATTTACAGTGTTGTATTGATCGTCATGTCGAACATTTTGTGGAAGATCACTCCTGTTTTGCCTTTTAACCGAAAATGTACACTGCACATTTCTTATGAGAAATTTCCATAATTGTTCGCATTTGTAATCTTATTTGGTTTTGTTTTTGACAGCAGTGTTACAAACATAATCAACACAGTTTCATAATTGACATTGGCATGATAGTTGCCATTTTTGTTGTAGTTTGTGTATACATCCTTTTAGTTTTGTGTCTTTCCCTCCTATACATTGCATACACATGTGCGCCTTGTTCTCCAACCCAAACTATCCCGAAGCCACAAAATCCCAGCCCCTGAATAAAATTGTACTTTGATGGATTCAGAATTTCAGAACACATGTGTTCTGTAGCTTTAGATGTACAGATAATGTGATATTTAATAGTTTAGTCTTGTTGGGATTTTGGAGAATTGATAAAGCTTCCTTAGAGATAAAGAGTTAAATCTTGGATTAACCCTAACCTTTCCCAAATCCCTTAAAATGTTGTTTGCAAAATGGAGGATTTTGCAGGATTGAGGCTGTGTGGCAAAAAAATGTGTGGCTGTTTTTTTTATGGATGCACTGTGTCAACGTCTTGGGCTGGACCTTGTGTTGTTTATGCTCAGCCGTGCATAAATTTAGGTCTAGAATATACTTAGAATCCTCCACACTGCTCCAGGATGTCCCTTGCTCTGTCTCAACATATTGACAGTGACTGCCGGAGGATTTTGCAGGATTGAGGCAGTGGTTACCCCATTCTAGAAATAATTGATAATTTTGCAGGATTAAGTTTCTCGTTTTCTAAAATCAAAATTATGTTTTCTTAACATTGAAATTTCCATGTTCTTTGGGTTTCTTAAAAAACAGAAACCACGATCACAAACAACACTTGAAGTTTCGCTCTAGATGTCAACGCACGCACGCGGCTGTGGGGCACACAGAAAATCGTGTATAATACATACACCATGTACACGTACATGGAATACAATGGAATATCGTTCTGTCATGTCTGTGAAGCATAATTTATGACAGACGGCTTGCCTGTGCACCAATTCGGAACCACTGTGCGCGCGGTGAGAGCCGAGACGGTCGTTTAGCAGTTGTGATGCGGACGATGTGGTATTCTTGGTTTCAAGACATTCTTTGCGGTATTCAGCATTTGAATCGCATGATACTGTGCGTGCGCATGTTGCATGGACCGCACTGCGAAAGGCGTCATGGAACCAAGTTATGTACATCCAGTCGAGTGTCCATATTTGAAAAGATGGTAAACTGAAACTGTGTTGTAAATCAATCTGTTCGGCAAAATGTTGCAAATATTGCAAGAGTATTTGCTCTGAATCAAACATGATACAGTTTAGGGCAATTTCAGCATTAAGCTCAGTGATTTAACCTAAAAACCAATATTTCAAAACTTACACATCCATGATCTACATGTAGTTATGGTCCAGGCAAGGGCAGATCCAGAATACAAATTTTTTTGAGGGGGGGCAAAAAAAATGTTTTGGTCCTCCAAAAAAGTTGGTCCCAAAATTTACGGCGTGGGGTTTGGGGCCTGCAGGGACACAAACATTTTTTGATTCTGATCTGTGGTGCGATCTGAGTTTTTTGGGGGGAGGGGCCATGGAGATTACTAACTAGGAGTCTTGGATCAAGAAAGGAATCACTAGATATCACGGTTAACTGGCTCTGTCTTGGAGGTTACACTTCCTGTCAAAATGCTAGAATTGCCCATGTGTGTATTTCTTTTTGTTCTGACAAGAGTCACAAGGGAGCTGTAGTCTATTTTAAGCTGTACTAAATCTTCACAAATGGACAATGTAGCTTAATTCTTCTGTTCTTTATGAAATGGAAGGAAAAGGTTTTATTTTCGAACTTCCCAGCAAAAAGGGAATCTCTCACTTTTTCTTTCATTTAATGATGATTATTGCAAAGACTGTGCCATGGGTTTACTACACAGAGTTGCAATTTGGAGAGCTCAGGAGACTTGTCAGCAAACATAATCAGCAAGATAGGGATGAATATTTGAGACATGAAAGAAAACCTGCCGCCAGAAAATCCTAGTCAGGAGTGAGTGACATGGGAGCTTGTTAAAGAGTGAAAGTTGAGTGTGCTGATGTAATGCAACACAAATAAGAGCACAGGGAAACTTGATACAAGTTTTAGTTTTGGTGTTTGGATAATCAAGAAAAAAAATTAAAATATAGATATAAATAGTCACTACATCAATATAGCATTGAAACCACACTCTCCTCCTTGAAATGGAAAGTGTACTTAGACTTCTGTTTTCAATTGTTATACTTACAAAGCATCCATGAACTTTTCTCTTTGGTTTCGGGACAAACTGATCCACTTTGCTGGCAGACTGGTTCCTCGTCCAAGCACTATCGATACTGGTTGTGGGGCAGGAACCAGGCAGCCTCTCGAGAACAGAAATATCTTCTGTCAGCCAATAATTTGAAATTGTAAAGTAATAATTCAATAACTAAACATTAATTGGCTGATTGTTTTGTGTTCAAAAGTGAATATCTGTTGTATTGCTAGAAAAAAAGCAATTCAGAAATGAATATACAGTGTTTATACTTCGGTGAAGAGCAAAGCCTAATATTGATTTACATCACCCCAACACAAAATTCCATCTTATGAAATAGTTAGATGCGGTACTCGCTGCTATGTGCAATGTGCATCAGATTCGAACCAGCCATCCGATCCCGCAAGCTCGGTGTTTTTAGTGGTGAGACGTCTGCACTAGAAAGCAGGAAGTTGTGGGTTAAAGTCCAACCCGAGTGAATTTTCCAACTTTCACTTGGGAGGTAACATACTGAGTATACAGTGTTTATACGTCAGTGAAGGGCAAAACCAAATATTAATTTAGAAAAGAAATCTAATTTTGGGGATGAAACTCGAAAAAAAGCACAGGGAACGCAACTTTCAATCCTCCCCCCCCCCCCAACACAAACATTCCATCTTACAAATATTCATCTCCTTTCCTGTTACATTCAGTGCTTGCGATGGATTAACTGATGGAAATCCAATTGTTTGTTTCATCCCTCAGCTGCTAAGAAGATAAGAAGGAGGCATTGAAAGTACTCAACGGACACAAATGGAAAGGACAAGTGCTCAAAGCCAAGGTATTCACTATTTTGTGGTTTTCACTTTTTACACAAGTTACTGTTGGCACTTGTCACTGGATTTAAATGAATAAGAACTGCCTCAGCATTGGCTATTATATAACAACCAAGTAAATCCTTGTCATTTGATTGGAGGATTGTAGGTCACGCGGCATTCATTAATCAAACTATTGCATTTTTTGTTCCATTCACCGTGCATTTTCGTCCCATCCCTTTTGATCTATTGCACGCCGCGCGCACGCTAAGTTTCTGTTGGCACTTGTCATTGGATTAAAATGATTAAGAACTGCCTCAGCATTGGCTGCCTGTGCAAGGGGTCTAGTGGCTAATATTTCTGTGGTTACCGTTCATATTCCCGCAATGACTCTTTTCCGTAGCTCGCCAAGCCAGTTTAGGACCCGGACACTAAGAGCCTCGCTCTGAAGAGAAGCCAAGAGGAATCTGATGGAAACACCCAAGAAGCTAAGAGGAGGAAGGAGGAGGACAGCTGACCAGTAGAAGAGAGGTGAAGACATTGGGATAGAATGCAGGGTTGGGCTGGATTCGAACCGCCATCCATTAGAAAAGTACTTCGGTTCTCAACCAACCAAAATCATCACAACACTCATTTCTTCTTTCATGCAAGGGTACAAACAAATGGCTCATTTTATGGAAATTCATGAATTTTTTTTTTGATGATTTTGTCGGAAATAGGAAGGTAGACCCCAGCCAATACTACCATTGATAAGGTTTGATATCCCTTGAAAGTTGAAGTGCAAAGAATGTGATTGCCTTCACTGTGGTAGATTTTTTTGAGGAAGGGAAAGGAAATGTGTTACCTCAAGTACAGGCCAAGTCAAAAAAAGTGGAACCCAAACCCCCCAAAATGTATTTCATATTTAAAATATATGTAGCACTAAACATAATAATGACTGGAAAGCCAATTTCATAAGCTACTTTTAGATGAAATTGCTCAATTCGCTTAAAGAATATCACCATTTAAACATAATGACCCTAAAACCTGTTTCGTCAAAAAAAAAAACCAGTTAATATTGTATTCTGATTGATCTACTGTTTTTTTAAAAGACGGGCCTCAAAAGGACTTTGTTAAATATTTTTAACTTTTAAGCTGAGTTTTTATTGCTGGTAATGTTTGAAGACAGTTAAGATGATTCCTGAAATCGCATTTTTGGACAAAAGAGGTTTGTGGTCATTGTCTTAAAATGGTGATAGTCTTTGAATGGATTGAGCAATTTCAGTAATTTTTTTTCATCTAAAAGTAGCTTATGAAAATGGCTTTCCAGTCATTATTATGTTTGGTGCTACATATTTTTTTTAATTTGAAATCTAATTTTTGGGGTTTGGGTTCTGCTTTTTTGACTCACCCTGTAGTTCATGATCATCACAAGAAAACCATTCTTACATCCAAGATTGCTATTTTATGAACCAAACTTGTCAGTTTCAAAGGCCAGTTGACATTGTGAACGTGAAATTTGTTGAGTGAAACTGTTACGTGGTCAGTTTACTCTTCCTTGCTATTTGTTTTCCTTGAAGGGACAGCATCAAAGCTTGCATGTCTGTGTAGAGTTTGTCATTAATGTTTTAAATTGTTCTTATTTTATCTGATAAACTGTTGAAGTTGACCACATTTCCCTTGGTGTGTCAATCCTAAAATTTACATTGCGCATGCACCACCAGAACTATGAACGGAAGTTATGAGAATGGTTTAATGTATGAAGACAGATCACAAGTTACTCACACAATCCATTATCCTTTATGAGATATGGTGGGCATGATACAAGGCGCTATTTGGTTTAGGTCAAGATATTTGGATTTACCCCAAATTTACCCCAATCAAATGTCGCCTTCTGATTGTGTCCGCCATATCTCAAAAAGGGTAATAGCAGTTGAAGCGTTCATGATTATGAAAATTCTTCAGACTCTGAAATACTGAGTGTGCTTTTTGCTCTTCTCCCAATCTGCAGGTTAAACAACACGGTGACTCCACTGTGGAACCAGCCGTATGAGGACCAGCTATCCACCAAACAGACCAACACCAGGGAGTTTCTGAGGAATTTATCCAAGATGCTGCAACGGAACATTGGGGAGATGTCTCCCTGGCTGAAGCAACAAAGGTGAGCTACTCACCAAAGACACAGGATGGTTGGGGGCTAGAATGGAAATGTAATCTCCCTTGACAAAATGTTTCCAGACATAGTTTTCTGGCCAGTGGACTTACATGTACAGCTGCCCTGAATATTGTTAAAGCCCCAGAAGATGTTTCCTCTTTTTCTTGAGAATCAGTGAAAACTCACCAAAGTTTTACCCAATTTTCTGAAATGAGCTGTCTTCCCTACACACAAAAGTCACAAAATTAAAAAAAGAGGAAAACCCAACCCAAAGCCAATCAATTCACAGCTGCTTGAGTGGGACTCGCACCGGCAACCGATGAGAGTTGAGGTGAACCTCAAGCCCCTGCTTAGAGAGACTCTCTCATTCAGGGGCAGATTGAGACCAACTGTCCCTGGACTTAATGGCAAACTGGAAAAATACTGCTCATTGAATCCTGTCAACATGACTTTGCAAAGAAAATAAAGTAGTTCTGAGAGAAGCAAAGAGCAACCCTAGGCACTCTAAATTGAAAGTCAAATTTCAAATCATAGCATTTCTTTTTTGTTTTCTTTTTTGGAGATAGAGCACACCTATCCACTAGTATTGGTGCTCAAGACACTACTTCATTAAGTTAAAAGTGCACATTGCTTAGAATGGACATAAAGTGTGAACACATGTAGATGTGCATGTGATGTGCCTGTCATGAACACTGCAACAGAAAGTTACAGAGGTTTTTTTCTCAGTAATTCCCCTAATTTCTTGTCAGGTCTTCATGAAACTTGGCTCTGGATAAATTGTGCAAACGTTTCAGTTTCATGTCTTATTATTTTCATTGACAGATAACACTGCTGGTTTCCGGCTTCGTGCTTACAAAGGTACAAAGGTGTAAGTATTTCCTCTGAAGTTTCCTTTTTGCAAAAGCCGTAGATCAGCGTTCATGTTTGATTGGATTGGCTGTCGAGGGGCGTGGCCTATTAGTAGCTACTGCTGATCAATTCCAACCAATCAGAATGCAACACACAGAAAGATTGACAGGTGTACATATTGTGCATTGTCTAATTTGTCTGTCAGGAATTAATTTTTGTAAAGAAGGAAACAAGCCACAAAAGACTTAAACCCTTGTCATCCCCTTTGCTAACCAATATGTTGGCTTACTTTTGTGGCATGAATATTGAGGGTATAGGTTTGTACTTTCAACACTGACCAGCAAGCTCTTTTACTCAAAAGGGATTTTTCAACACTTACATTTGAACAAGCAAGAATTAGGTTTTAAATACAAAATTCAGGAAAATCACTGTTTGTTTAAATGTTGCTAGTGTACACTTTTATTTATTTTATCACTGATCTTGCTTTTACACGCAAATTTGTTTGTCCTATAGAAAGTATGTGACTTTTAGAAACATGGTTTGCCCTGTATTTTTTTCCCCAAATATTACTAGGTATCAGAAAGACGTAAGAGCTCAAACACCAATTTGGTGATAGTACATTTCTATATTATTTGTGTTTAGAGTGTTAAATTACACAAGGAAATAGCAGCTTTAATGAACATATAAAAAGCAGCAATTCCTCCGATACTGTGCAAATTAAGATACATCTTGTATGATGCTAACTTTGCAACAACATTCATATTTTACAGCATTGATTTTTCAATTACCCAAATTTGAAGTACCCTTGAGTCCATCTAAAAGAAATATTAGAATATTGCTTTGCATTTAAACATCATACAGACATGGAGCTCATAATGTAATACAACAGACTAGTGGTGCTACACAGATTATGTACAATTATAGAGCATGCAAGTCTCGCCAGTTCACATTCACTTTTCATGTGAACATCTTGGTACCAAACACTGACTAGTCTAGCCACAGACTCCCGTCTTTGAATTCACCCAATGAAAGGAAGTGGAGGTCCACTTTTTTTCAATTTACTATAGTAATCAACTTGCAATATTTTTTGAATGTGTTGTAAATTGGAATGATTTTGTTCTTGTTCAGAACCCATTCTTTGCCCTTGACTGGATAAACCTAGTAAAATCACCTAGGTTTTTGAGGTCAACTTACACGCTCTATTGACAGAAGTGGAGTACAAATTGCTGACTTTAACTATCAACTACTTTTTTTCCAGCTAGTAGCTGTGATGACACCTTTAATACACCAAACTTAAATCCCATACTGTACATCTAAAGCCTACAATGGTCTCGTATATTATATATCTGTGCTCTGCAGCAAAAAGTCTATACAATGGATTTCTCCTTGCTAAAGATAGAATGGTCTTCAAAAAGCATTTTCCACGTTGTGCAACATGTCGTCGCTTTGCTCACGAAGTGACAAAAACCTGAAAATTTGACAAAAGTTCATCCTGAGATAATCGCATTTGAAGTTATTCATTTTTTCAAAAGACATTGTCGACCACTTTGCAGTAACAGAATTCGGAATTTTTTGCATTGTCCAATATATGATTTGCTCTTTGTTAATTCATAGTTGTTGGTTAAAAATAGTTCGTAATTAAACAGTAATTCATTAATAAAACTTTTTTGCACTTCGTGAGAACATCAATACTTTGGCTCCCATATTTTGCCAATTACTTTGTACATCATTTTTGTCACTTCGTGGGATCATGAATCGCGGAGGCTTTACTTATTTGTACTTTTTTTCGACGCAACAAACTTGTTACTTTTGCGCGTCAGGAAAGTTGAGCGCAAGCGCGCGTCTGTTCTTTTTCAACATCGTTCGCGCGCCATGTATGCTCCCATCCTGCCGCGTGTAGACCAATGTATAATTCCTCCGGCCCTGCTCAAGAGGTGACTTTTTGTCACTTCGTGAGAACATTTTACACTTTTTTACACTTAAAAATGAAAATCACCGATTTCAGGCTTTTTGTCAATTGTTTGTTTACAATAATTAAGAAAGTAAACAATATTTTGCCTTGAAACTTGGTCAAATTGTTCCTTGAGACAACTATAATAAAATGGCTAGTAAAACTCAAAATCGAATAATTATCGATTTTCGAGGTTTTTGTCACTTCGTGAGCAAAGTGACGATGTGTGCACAAAGATTGGTGTAATGTATTTGGAATCAGATGCTCCTAATGCATAACTTGCAACTTTGTTGATCTGTTACTTAGGCTGTGTCTGAAACGGGCTTCTAGAGCTATGGCTACGGCTATTGTCAGATTGTTCCCATGTAATTGTTATGGGTGAAGACACAGACAATAGCCATAGACATCTCACTTGCCCATATTAGACTTTAATATACCTAAAAAAATACCAATTTAATCTTTTTTTCTTCTCTAATTGGAGTTGGTCTTTTAATTTGTTCATTTGTGCATCAGGTCTTGACCCACAAGATAACCATTCCACCAGCACCTCTGACGTACCAGTGACTGGTGCTGCCATAACGGATCCTTATCACTATCTGACACAACAGCACTTCACCTCAGAGATCTTCAAGATTGGGATCCAAAACCTCCCAAGACATTTTGGATTTGCGGTGAGTTTGCTCCCTAAACATTCAACCCTCGATAATGATAATCAGGCGGGGTCCAGGATTTTTTTAGACGGGGGGCACATCGTTGGAACATTTTCTCCGAGAACTATGCGAGCGCGGGAAATTTTGGATTATAGATGATCTGTATTGCAATCTGAGGCGATTCCTGGCCCCTCTTACCCCGACTCATTTGAGCAAAACATTTTAAGATCATATGGATTTTTCATTGGTTTAAAATAAACTCTTACTATTACAAACCTTTTTAGTTTCTTCTGTTCTTCACGTGATAACCATGTATTTTCGTCTGCATATTTTTGTGTATTATATTTGTAAAAAGGAATTTTATAGACTTAGTTTGTAAACTGTTGCAAGGATGCTTTGAATTGTTCAGTTTATCAATAAGAACAAACCGCTTGAACATGTACATTGAATTCAAGTTTAAAATTAGTGTAATTTAATCAAATTAAAACAGAGGAGCAATTAGGCCTCCATGCACATTGTAAATTCACAGCTCAGATTTATCTCGTGACTAATCTCATGCATGCATAATGTAATTGCCCAAACATTTTACAGAAATGTTCTTGGTCTTAATTCAGTCCAGTTTCAATTTCAAGAATAGAGCCTAGTTAATACATGTACAGGCACATGTATTTGTAAATAAACCATCGGCAGATCGGCGGCACAGCAAGACAATTGTATAAAACACTCATCGTAGTTTGTACACATGTGACTGGTCTCTTATACATGTACATGTGGTACAGAAAATAGTCATCGGGCCTTTCGGCGCCATGATGCAATTCCCATCTAGTATGATACATTGTGAAGGTGTTTTTGTCACTTTGTTACGTAAAAAATACAGTAAATAATTGTATATTGATGACGTTGAGAAATAGACATCAGGAATTGGTGTATTCCTATCCCAACCCGGCACAGACAGGCGCCAGTCTGCGGCCGCCACAGGCAAACTCCAATAAAAAAATCCCTCGCTTGCACTTGAGAAAGCAACTCACAGCGCGTTCCGTCTAGCTTGCTAGAGCATGTTTAGAGTGCTAAACTTTGCCTTTGCGCTATAACTGCTGATTTTTTTCCTAAGAACAAACAGATCCCTTTTAAGTACCAAACTTATCAGATTTGGATTTTCAGCAATGTGTAGTAATGTCAAAACCCTTTTACTTAAAAAAAAAGTTTTATGGACGGATCCATGTATACCTTCAGGGGTGTTTATTTTTTGTTGGTGTCTTGCATTGTTTCTCGAATAAAGTTTTTACGAAAATTATATGATGACGTTGAAGAACTCATTTAAAGGAAATGTTTTGGACTCTGTGAAAAGTATAATTTGTACTTTAAAAGTGCGCTTAAAAATGCTGGCAAATTGTTCTTATGAAAACACACCCCTTGACCAATGGTGAGGTACAAAGAGCAGTGTACATGTGTGTGTCGCGCAACACAGCAATAAGCTGCACATGCTTTTCGTAGAGAATACATTGTAGAGAGTACGTACATTCATATGAAAAGAATCGCCTTTATGCAGGGTTACATAATGAGGAAGTACGGTGGAATCGTGGTTAATTTGGAAGCTTCTTGGCTCTCTAGCTTGCTGTGTCATACAAACAGCCAGTACACAATGTTTGCAGGCTGATGTTTAATATCGGCGCTGGCATATTTGTAAGGAGGTTGCCCTCCTTCCCTCCTTCTCACTCTTCTCCCCCTCTTTTTTTTTTGGGGGGGGTGTTTTTTTTTTTGTGGACTCAATTTGACAGGGGCACGTGACAGGGGCACCCCAGATCCGTGCCTGAATTGTCACACAGTTTGCGCTATATCGAGAGTTCCTATTGCCAACCATGGTTGGACTTTCTCAAGGTCTTTCAATAGCATTAAGGAATTAAAGGGCTGTGAAATGAATTTCACTTAAATTTTAAAATATAGCCTCCTGTTTTTATCAAAGTAACAACTACATGTACTTTTTTTCCCCTTTTTTTTCAAGTGCACTTTTTACAATGTCCAAATACTTTCACTTTATAGCTTTGGAATTTCTGTGTAATTGATGAACCTAAATTTCTCTGCATTGTACATGTACACAAAGCAGTTTGTACATTAAAGTATCACATTGACTGCCTGCCATGTGCTAACCGCGATCAAAACACTTGTAACTTTTTTTGTCCTCAAACATCAGTGAAACTGAAGTTCCAGCTCATGACATCACTGTATTTCTCTTGAATATGCACCTAGGCACCATCATGAACATATGTAAAAGCCTGAAACATCCAAAGACTTGGAATACAGAGGTGCATTTCCTAAAATAAAAACCTCCAAATCTGGGGAAAATGTGGGTTATCCATATGTTATTTAGTGCCAATAGATGTACATTTTCACAAATAAAAGTAGCAAACTTGCTCATTCACAAAAACCTCATCAAGTAACAAGGACCAGATATGGAAAGTGTAATTCATTTGCCAAGAAGATCATTTGTAAGTAGTTCAACACCACTTGAATACATACATTGAATGAGTTCCAGCTGTTCCCTGACAGCAATGTGCTCTGCGCCTGCACATTACTGATGTCATTGTTGCGTACGTGTATTGGCAATCTGCTAAATTAAAACTCATTTCAACTCTAGCATATTATTTGCTGTTAATATTTCTCAATTTCAAATCTACTTGGCATTCCAATGAAGACGATGTATGAAACAGCCTTAAATCTTCTCTACACTTTGAACACAGCAAGTTCAAAAGCAGCACTGACTCTACTCACCGCTGCCCTTATAGATGGCTTGCACTCATCAGTTACCAGAGAACATTGCTCTTGACAACTTTCCAAGAGTGTCTCCCTTCTGGTTCTGGATGTGCATACTACTGCCCTTGTGCTGATGGCACGGTGCCAGTCAGCCCAGGACATTGTTCCTGAGTACTTGCAAGTGACTGCTGGCTCTCTTCTGGTTCTGCATGTACCTCAACATGCACTTGAACATGCTGCTGACTGTGCATGGATGCCTTGCTGCTGCTTTGCATGCAACATTGTTCTTGACAGCTGTCCAGTGACTGCTGACTCGCTGTGTGTTGTGCATGCCCTTGGCTTGGTGGCTTGCTGCTGCTTGGCCTGGCAGCACGGTGCTCTTGGTCATTTTCTGCCTGTGGAATCACATGAAGCTTGATCTGCTTCCCTGGCTGCGATGGTCGGCTGGGATTCCGTCTTGGGCAGCAACGACAGCACAGTTTCAGGAATGAGAAAGCCTTGACTACAGCTTCACGAAAGTCAGCATTTGTGGCACTGTAGACTAGGGAATTGATTGAGCTATTGATCAGTTGCAAAATGTCAATGCATGTAGCCAGAATATATATTGTCTCTCCAAGTTCCAATTTGGCAACAATCTGAGCAGGTGAAGTATAATTGGATGCCGCTACATGTATTGCCATAATATCAGCTGCAATGGTCAGTGAGTTCAGAATGAAGAAAACAGCAGTGTTGATGATAACCATGCAGAGGACCTTACCTGCTTGCTTGGGACGGTTTGGCAACAGGGCTGATTGCTTGCGTACTTTCAATACTACATAGATGTACAAAGCAAGAGTTGCTATCAAAGAGGCAAAGTTGATAATGGAAAGAATCACAAAGTTGACTTTAGCGAAGACAGTGTCGGTTAATGGTAAGAAAATCAGAATCACACCAACAATAATTGTTGGCACCCAGAGTCCTGCTGATATCTTTGCTGCTCGAGATTTAGAGGCTTTTTCTTTGAACATTATAGGATTGCACACTGCAGAGAATCTCTCAGCTGCTATGGTAACCACAAAGAAATTAGAGGTAGCAATGAACGTGTATAGGACACTTGATATTGCCTTTCTGACCAATAAGTTGTACTCTATAGGTGAAAACAATGCAAATATGAAGCAAGTCATAAGGAAGAGGGAGTCAGCCACAGCCAGATTGGATAAGTAGATGTTGATGATTGTACGCATGGAATTCACTCGAATGACTGTGAAGAGAAAGACAAAGTTTAAGCAGAGGCCGATTGGTGCAATGATTTCAGCACTTAAACATGTTATTTGTTTAGTTCTTTCTCCACTCATGTAAAAGTTCTCACGATGCTTTTCAATTTCAGTATTCCACCCAGTTGATGGAGTGGAGCTGTTTTGGTAGCCATCACCCATAGTTCATGCACAATGTAGCATTGAGCTCCGTGAGCCACATGTTGTTCAGATGCAGCAAAGAATGTTCTTCTCTATTTCAAGATCACTCCAGATTTATACTTACAGGGATTGTAAGACCTTGAACAAAGTGGAATTGAAACAGAAAGTTTCTTGTTTTTTTCCTTCTTTTTCCCCCAACATTTCTGTCTGATTTTAATGCATGTGACTATCTTGTGGTATCAGTTCCTGTAACCAAAGCAGATGCATGTAAGTCAGTTTCACTACTTGCACTGACATGAAATCTGAGCATTGAATTTGTTTCACTTTTAATGATTGGTTCCAGATTAAACATGCATATTGTGTACATGTAATTGTTTTTTTTTATGCAAGTCGTCCCTTCACAAGGCATAAATGCCACTCAATGTGAGGGCTACCGCACAAGAAGAAAAGACAGGAAAAAAGAGAGGATGATAGAAAATGAAGACAATTAAGTTTAGTGTGTATGAGAGATGCATGTTCACATTGTGTTTATACAGGGTGATTAAAAAAAAAAGTGACCCGCACTCAAGATTTTTTTTTTACTGAAGCAATCAAATCAGATACACCGAAGAAATATGTCTTAAAAGAGCATGTTCTTCCACTCATCTGAAAAAAAACCAATCACTAAATTTGATCATGTCATCCAAAGTTATGCATGTTTTACTAAAAAAAAAACGTTTGTGTAGCTGTCCAAGGAATGCGATA